AGCTTCTCGCCGTAAAGCTTCTCGCCGTGGAGCAATCTCGCCGCGCAACGTCGCCCTTCTCGCCGTAAAGCTTCTCACCGCGGAGCAATCTCGCCACGCTACGTCGCCCTTCTCGCCGTAAAGCTTCTCGCCGCGGAGCAATCTCGCCACGCTACGTCGCCCTTCTCGCCGTAAAGCTTCTCGCCGCGGAGCAATCTCGCCGCGCTACGTCATCCTTCTCGCCGTAAAGCTTCTCGCCGTGAAGCTTCTCGCCGCCGTTCCTGCCCTTCCCACCGTAAATCTTCTCGCCGTAAAGCGTCGCCGAAGGAAGGTTCTTCTGCGTCAGCGGGGTCGTTGTCCTTCTACCCTGCACGTTTGCGTCGTCATCTTCTGCCCTGCAGTTGAGCATTCTTCCTCGTCGTCGCCGCACCGCAGCACATCGATGGGAGATAGAAATGGTGGTCGGCGAAGCGCTTCCAAGTGTTGAAAGGAGGGGCAAAAGGTTGTCACCACAGATTTGCGGCCAGCATGTCGACGCGAGGGACCGCCCGTGGCACGATGCGCGATGCCGCAGCCGCCGTCGGGCTTGCGCAGGCGAAAGGTCGGCGCCATATCCCGAAATCGAAGAAGGTGCACTCCGGTGAAGCGTTAGGAAACGTGCCTGCTCGTGGTTCCGAAGGTTGGGCGGCCGCAGCGGAAATGGAGTATGACGACGACTTCGGGATGGAGGAACTGCAGGCAGAGGCGACGGCATCGACGGTGCAATAAAGCGCTCACCAGCGAGCTTCTGATCACAGCGCGCCGAAGAGGATGCTCCCCCCTGCACCCGAGGCGCAGCAGGCGCATGGCTGCGATGCAAGGAAAGACAAGGCTGCCGTCGTCGTGGCGGAAGGCGATGATGACGAGACGTTGGAAAGACGTCGCCAGCGCAATCTTGCACAAGATTCCGCAGCCCCATTGATGACTAAACGCCTCCCGGAAAAGGAAGTCGTGCCAGAGCGACACGCAATCGAGGGCAAGGCGGCAGGTGCTGCGGGCGGGACCGCCACAGTGAACTCAGCCCCCGTGGCGACGGCGAGAGAGGAGGCAGCAGCTGCGACGACGGCGAGAGAGGACGCGCGTGGCGAGAAGACAATCAATCGGGAGGGCGGCGATGTTGGTCCGAGCCGGGTGCGCAAGGAAACCATGAGCAGAGAGCTCATTGATCGCGCCCTGCTCTGGGTGGATGACAAAGCGTTCTGGACGACGGGGGAGGGGCGGAGATTGTACAACATCATCCACGAGACGCGGGAATACTTTGTCGCCATCGCCAGCGGCCTTCCAGCGACTGATGTCTCTCGCAGTGTCATCCTGCCGAAGTCGAGCACCAGGGTAGCCAGGATCTCCGACCCATCGCAGCTGCAGCAAGCGATCTCCCGTGCGGCGAAAGTGGAGAACGTGGCTTTGCGCGTCCTGCACGGCTGGGTTTTCAAGTCCGGCAACTGCGCAAGGGGGTACAACCTGGCTTACCAGTACGCACTAGAATCCGTAGCGATGGACATCGTGCGTGCTTTGTGGTACGCCGAGGACTGGTCCAACGTCGTCAGTGCGCCCATCTGCGGCCACACGATAGATCGCAACATGGACTTGCCACTGTGGTTCGCCGGCGCCCATATCGACGACAGACCCGACGACGACGACATGGCGGCGTACCAGGAGTCGACAGCCATCTGCATCGCCCAAGCATTCCGCACGGCGGTGCAGATGGGAGCGCACATTGACGGCGATTTCATCTCCTACGACCGTCTTTGTCGGGTGGCTGACTGCTTTAGACTTCTGTTGGCGGCGGCAATGTGGATAATGCGCACGGCGGGAGACGACTTCCGCAGCCACTACGAGGCGTTCTACTCCGTCAACTTGCTGGCCAGGCCTACACTGGTCGCGTCCATGCATCGCTCCTTCGACCATAGACGATCCGTCGTCCACGCCGCGAAAGCCGTTACCGAGAGGCTTGGGAAGGCGAACCCCACGTTTGGCGAGCACCCCAACTACATCCCTCAATGGGCACCCTGCGGCATTACTTTCGGCCACGACGCCAGCGTAACGGGTCCGGAGGATTGCAAGAGGCTTGATTGGTTGGGTTCGGGCCCCCCCGATGACGACGGCGACGACGACAAGAAAGAAGGCGCGTAGGGGGTGGGGCGGC